TTTTTTTTGGAAGTCACTTTTTGAGGCGAAAATCCCTAGCAAATCGAAAGAATTTTCTCCGCGAAAAACCCTAGCAAATCGGAAAAAAATCTCTCGGAGCCAAAAACCCTAGCAAATTTAAAGAATTTTCCTCAATTTTCTACATTGATGAGCTAAAAAAAAAACAAAAAAAAAAGGTCTTCACTTTTTTAATCAAAAACCCTACCAATTTCGAATAAATTTCACGAAAAATAAATTCTCATCCAAATCACAGGGGGAGGTAAACCCCCCCTACCCCCCCCCCCCCCTCCGCACACTACTGCTTTGCGCTGTCTGTTTGTATAATTGGTTTTTGCTCACATAAATTTGTATTCGTCTTTTTGCAGAATATTCTGTATGTTATTGTTTTCTTCTTAGGCCGTCATATTAGTTTTTTTGCAATTGTGATATGGCTTTCGTTGATTTTGATACACGTATTTTTTTTTCAATTCTCAAATTCAATGTCGACGCCAAATCAGCTGAAAAGGGTGATTTTTGTTAATAATATCAGATACAACTTGTGCATTAAATGTAAGTACAGAGCAATGTGGCTACTTGACCCAATGATTTGAAATTTTGTAAATAAAAAACTGAATTGTTTCATTTGTTCAGATTTGTTTAATATTTTATAGTAAACATATAAGCACTGAAGCTTAAATATTAGTATCCGTGAGTTTCGACACTACCGTATCCGCCCGAGTGGCCACCATAACCACCCCCCACACCAATGCGATGTGGTCTATATCCAGAATTGAGGCCACCATATCCACCACCAACTCCAATTTTATATCCATTATGTCCACCTGAATCAAAGTGCAGAGTTAATATTATAAAAAACTGTTTTTTAATGAGTTATAACATGCTTAGAAGCTGTTTATTGTTAATTTTTTTATCAAATATCTAAACACTGAAGTTTTAAGATCTATTGAATTTGAATTTTAATATCAGTGAGTTTTGAAACTACCGTATCCAGAATTGTGGCCACCAAATCCACCACCAACTCCACTGTGTTGTGGACTGTGTATACCAGAGTGGGCGCCATATCCGCCCCCTACTCCAATTTTATATCCATTTTGTCCACCTGAATCAAAGTACAGAGTAGATATTATTTGATCCATTTGATTTTGAACTTTGTAAATAAAAGACACTGATTTTTTTAATGAGTTATAACGTGCTCAGACGTTGTTTATTGTTAAAAAATTTATCAAATGTCTAAGCACT